TGGGAAGTGCATTCTGGCCATTTAATGGGGTCACCATCTCATTCCTGGACTGAGGTGCCGCTCAGAGATGACACAATCATGGAAATCTCTGGTGGGTGTGTTCACAAATGTGACTTTCTGCAAAGTTACAATGTACAGTCTGATCACTGGGGGAGGGGAGACTGAGGAAAGGCTTCCTCCTCCTTCTGCAAAGTTACAATGTACAGTCTGATCACTAGGGGTGGGGGAGACTGGGGAAAGGCTTCCTCCTCCTTCTACAAAGTTACAATGTACAGTCTGATCACTGGGGGAGGGGAGACTGAGGAAAGGCTTCCTCCTCCTTCTGCAAAGTTACAATGTACAGTCTGATCACTGGGGGAGGGGAGACTGAGGAAAAGGCTTCCTCCTCCTTCTGCAAAGTTACAATGTACAGTCTGATCACTGGGGGAGGGGAGACTGCTCAATCTGCAGATCCGATCCATTCTGCGGGGATCGTTGGAGGTGGTGTCGCCAAGTGTTATCGCACCGGGTGACACCAACTCTAGGGACGCCCCTGATTAGTTATATTGTTTTATTTACATAGTAACAAATTCTAAAAGGCCAAAATGATTATTTTTATGTTTCACAAATTCCTTCCAGTGTTATGAAGCTTCGGATCTCTTTTTCTCTGAGGTGGGGGGGGGGGGGGGGGGGGGGGGCGGCTTACACTGTTTTTATATCGTCTTTCCCTTTTGCAGAGAAATCCTTAGAAGAAAAATAATCTTTCGATGGAATAATGGATTTGAATACGACACTTGGAATCTTTCCTTCCATCCAATGTATATACATTGATGGAGGAAATGGGAAAGTTTTCATCTGGTAAATTGATCCGATTGGCCTCCTGGGGTCAGAAAAGAATTTTCCCCCCCTTTCATGAATAGGAGGGGGTGGGAACAGGCGATGGCGGTTGTTTTCCTGACCGTAGAGCAAAGCTGCCAGAGACTGTTCCGGGATGAACATGATACAAATATAATGAGTCTTTTTATTTTAGCCCTTTAAAAAAATTGGGCTAATTAAGTTCCAGTTTCTTATTCCCGGAGAGGCGTTGTGATTGGCGGTGAGCTGCGTTTATGAAAAAGCAATTGGAAGTCTGCAGAAATTGTTGGTGATTGGACAGTTCATACAAGGATTATCTTCAGATGAGAATCACGACCCTGTTGGGGACCCCAGGAGCCTCACATCAGCCACTGAGTGAACCAAGGAATTTTCTGGTCCGCCTTGTCCTCCACGGCTCGCAGGGTAAGTTGTAATCACCCAACTGAATTTCATAGATAAGAGCACCTGTCATTTTGACATCTCCCAAGGTTTTTGAGGAACTGCTTTACCAAGTCGAGCAGCAGCAGTGGTATAAATGTGCGTGTATACGTGGCTCAGACTTCCTCTAGCTGGGTGTACAAGAACTGATCCACTGTGGCCAATATATAAGAGAGAGAACAGTATTCTATGGAGATAAAGGGTATTCCCACAGGTGCACCACCATCCAACCATGTCCTTAAGAAGTAAAAGCAGCCTCAGCTCGCTCCAGAAGAAGCCATGCCCCCAATGCACTGCGCCCAGGAGCTTAATCATGGAGGTACCTCTATATATAAGAGAGAGAACAGTATTCTATGGAGATAAAGGTTATTCCCACAGCTGCACCACCATCCAACCATGTCCTTAAGAAGTAAAAGCAGCCTCAGCTCGCTCCAGAAGAAGCCATGCCCCCAATGCACTGCGCCCAGGAGCTTAATCATGGAGGTACCTCTATATATAAGAGAGAGAACAGTATTCTATGGAGATAAAGGTTATTCCCACAGCTGCACCATCATCCAACCATGTCCTTCTAAGTAAAGCAGCCTCAGCTCGCTCCAGAAGAAGCCATGCCCCCAATGCACTGCGCCCAGGAGCTTAATCATGGAGGTACCTCTATATATAAGAGAGAGAACAGTATTCTATGGAGATAAAGGGTATTCCCACAGCTGCACCACCATCCAACCATGTCCTTCTAAGTAATAGCAGCCTCAGCTTGCTCCAGAAGAAGCCATGCCCCCAATGCACTTTGCCCGGGGGCTTAATCATGGAGGTACCTCTATATATAAGAGAGAGAACAGTATTCAGTGGAGATAAAGGGCTATTCCCAAAGCTGCACCACCATCCAACCATGTCCTTCTAAGTAAAGCAGCCTCAGCTCGCTCCAGAAGAAGCCATGCCCCCAATGCACTTCACCCGGGGGCTTAATCATGAAGGTACCTCTATATATAAGAGAGAGAACAGTGTTCTATGGAGATAAAAGGATATTCCCACAGCTGCACCACCATCCAACCATGTCCTTCTAAGTAAAGCAGCCTCAGCTCGCTCCAGAAGAAGCCATGCCCCCAGTGCACTTCGCCCGGGGGCTTAATCATGAAGGTACCTCTATATATAAGAGAGAGAACAGTATTCTATGGGGATAAAAGGGTATTCCCACAGCTGCACCACCATCCAACCATGTCCTTCTAAGTAAAAGCAGCCTCAGCTTGCTCCAGAAGAAGCCATGCCCCCAATGCACTTTGCCCGGGGGCTTAATCAAGGAGGTACCTCTATATATAAGAGAGAGAACAGTATTCTATGGAGATAAAAGTGTATTCCCACAGCTGCACCACCATCCAACCATGTCCTTCTAAGTAAAAGCAGCCTCAGCTCACTCCAGAAGAAGCCATGCCCCCAATGCACTTTGCCCAGGGGCTTAATCAAGGAGGTACCTCTATGACTAAGCCCCCCGGGGTGTTGGTGGCATGGCTTCTTCTGGAGCGAGCTGAGACTGCTTTTGCTTCATAAGGACATGGTTGGATGGTGGTGCAGCTGTGGGAATACCCTTTTATCTCCATAGTGTTTCATGAATCTAGTCCCAGCTGGCAACCATCTAGCGGCTTCCACCTCAATGGACTTGGGACGCCTGCGCTGGAGCCTCTAAGCTGCATTTAAGGTCATAGAGAAAAGTGTTGTCTGATTGGTTGTTGACTGTAGAGATGAAGAAATTGCTTTTTAATCTAGCTAGGTATTACTTAAGAGATCAAATAATTGTATTTGCGCATACATCCTCAATATGCCTTCAATGCTAACTCCGCCCATTTTAGATTGGTGAAGAGTTAGCACTTCATCCAGGTATTTATTGCTGTCTGTGTCCTCACTAGGGAGATTTTTGGTGTTCCTTAAATGACCAGGAGAAAATGAAGGCCATAAAATTGGCTATGGCATATGGTAGGGAGTGCTTGGATTACAAGACTGGATGAATGGAATTAAAAATCTTTTAAAAAGTTGAACAGTTTACATGTATGTAGTTATTATTATAATTTATTATTATACAGGATTTATATGGCGCCAACAGTTTGCTCAGCGCTTTACAAAATGAAGGCAGACATTACAGTTACCATACAATTTGGTACAAGAGGAAACAGAGGGCCCTGATCCTGAGAGCTTACAATCTAGGTGGAAGGGTAGAGTGATACAAAAGGTAATAGCTGTGGGGGGATGAGCTGATGGAGGAAATAAATGGCAGTTTACTAGGTAGAAGCAGGATAGGCTTCTTTAAAGAGAGAGGTTTTCAGGGATCATCTAAAGGTGGATAGATTAGGAGACAGCCAGACAGATTGGGGTAAGGAGCTCCATAGGATGGGAGAAGCTCGGGAGAAGTCCTGGAGGTGAGCATGGGAGGAGGTGACACAGAAACTAGAGAGCAGAAGGTCTTGGGAGGATCGAAGAGACCAGTTTGGTTGATATTTTCAGACCAGGTTGGTGATGTAGCTGGGGGCAGAGGTGTGGATGGCTTTGTAAGTTGTTGTTAGTATTTTGAATTTTATTCGTTGGGCGAGTGGAAGCCAGTGGAGGGATTGGCTGAGAGAGGGGTGGAGGACACTCAATGGTTGGTAAGGTGGATGAGCCTGGCAGCAGTATTCATGATGGACTGGAAGGGAGATAGCCTATGTAAAGGTAAGCCAATGAGGAGGGAGTTGCAGTAGTCGAGGCAAGAGATGACCAGGGAGTGAATGAGGAGCTTTGTGGTATCATTGGTTAAAAAAGGGGCATGTTCTGGAGATGTTGTGGAGGTTGAGGCGGCATGATTTGGACAGGGATTGGATTTGGGCCTGAAAGGATACCCCTCGCACCCTGGCATGCAGGGATGGGTTGATAGTGGTGCTATTGATCTTGCCTGAGAAATCAGGGGAAGAAGCGCGTGGGGGAGGAGATATTATGAGCTCAGTTTTGGATAGATTGAGTTTTAAGAAGTGGTGTGACATCCAGTCTGATATGTCTGTTCAAGAAGCTTGTCTGGAAAGACATCTGGAAAATACTATAGGTATCTGATGAGTATTAATTAGAATTAAAATTCCCATAAGAGAATGTTGGGATGGGGAAAAGACTGCATGTCTGCAAGACCTGGCCAAGCTTGGAAACCAAGAACTGGCCCAGCTTTGTGACCTAGACCTGGTCAGCCCTGCTGACCAAGAAATGCCTTAGCTTGGTGAACAAGACTTGGCCCAGCCTGGTAACCGCGACCTGGCCTAGCCAGGTGATCAAGGTCTGGCCCAGCCAGGTGACCAGTACCTGGTCAATCCTGATGATGAAGACCTGGCCTAGCCTGGTGACCAAGACCTGGCCCAGGATGGTGACCAAGACCTGGCCCAAGATGGTGACCAAGACCTGGCCCAAGGTGGCGACCAAGACCTGGCCCACCATGGTGACCAAGATCCATCCCAGCCTGGCAACCAAGACTTGGCCTAGACTGGTGACCATGATCCAGCCCAGCCTGGCAACCAAGACTGAGCTCAAGCTAGTGACTATGAACTAGCCTAGCCTGGAGACCAAAAACTAGCCTAGCATGGAGACAAATCATTTGGCAGAGATGGGTTCTCCAGAACACCGAGTTGGCATTTGTGGGCACCTTTAGATGCAAAATCCAGTGTGAAACCTCCTTTCTATTAGTAAGTATTGACTTCCTCTATTGCAGATGATTGGAGGGACACAGAGGGAGACACAGAGGGAGGCCAGTCTCATCCAGCAGACGTTGGCACTTCTGAGGAAGAACATTTTGGTACAAAGGAGGCGGCTGGGCTACCTCATACTGGTAAGTAAACAATGAGTGATACTTGACAATGGGGTCTCAGAGGCCATTTCTTGTGTAAACATCCAAAAGCCCTGAGACTGTGGCTGGGTGCCTTCATCTTTGATGTAATGTCGCAGACTCCAAACTGCCACTTAAGTGACACCCCATCGTATTCTAATCCACTTCTCTCCAGAATAAATACAGAATGGTATTAATTTGTGTTTTTTTTATATCAGTCTGGAGTTCAGCTTCAATAATTCAGAGAGCCAGTCCCATGTCCTCCAGAAGTATAGTACCTCCAGTTGTGTCCCTTATGTAACCCATCCCAGTTCTATCAATTTGATAAAAAAAATTTTTTACTGGATTTTCACTTTATCGTAATTTATCAGCTGAGTTTACCTAGGGTGACATTGCCAAAAGTCTCATTTCTCTGGTGGAAGAATTCCTGAAGTGCTGATGAACTGCAGATATGGAATTAGCAGAGGAGACACATCTGGCTGTATAAACTGTCTGTGATGTAAATGTGTTTCTTCCAATTGATGTTGGTGCTGACCCGGTACTTGGTTTTTCCAGGAGTGGCTCCAGCATTTGCTGCTGGTCTTCTTGCTGTTCATCTTCACCATTAATTCACAGCATCTGAGGCCCACAGTCGAAATAACATACAGCCCGGCCCTGGTCCTAGGGCGTCTGGATCATTTAAGGAATCTCAACATTTTCTTTAACGTCTCAGTCTTCCCTTACCATGTTGGCTACTTCCCTAGCAGCCCTGCCATCAAGGACATAATGCAGCTGGTCAACAGAAGCGCCATCGTCCCAGGTAGGTTCTGCTGTTACCTGTAAGCTGAGCTGAAGGACAAAATCAGGCTGGCAGTTGGAGTTTTGTAAGCTGATGGGGAGGGAAAGGGTAGGTTTTAGGTGAGCTTGCAGGAAGTGAGAAAGTTCAGGATGGGTGCCATGATGTCAATGGAGGGGCAGGGGGCATGACTGGGGGCAGGGGTATTGGGTTGCAGAACCTTACAAGCTTCACATCTCCTACTTTCAGGAATATCGCTGGAGGAATATCAGAATGCCACCAAGGTTACAAGTCCAAAATCTGAATACCACCTTGGCTCCGTGGTCTTTTCTGACAATGAACTGAACTGACTACACAGCTATGAGAGGTGAGTCAGTGCATGTGATATCTGGTGGTATGGCCTCAGGTTTGATCTGGTGATGGCTGGAGCACAGCCAAGACGATGCTTATATCTGGTGGTATGACCTTGACACAGCCATGGCTAATGCTTATATCTGGTGGTATGGCCTGGAGTACAGCCAAGGCTACTTGAAAGACTGGCGGTATGAGAGGTGAGTCAGTGCATGTGGTATTATTATATCTGGTGGTATGGCCTGGAGTTCGCCAGCCTGCACACTAATGCTTATATCTGGTGGTATGGCCTGGAGCACAGCCAAGACTACAAACATGAGGGGATCGAGGGCCCTTCTCTTTCGAGCTTACAATCTAGGAGGGAGGGGGTGGTGGCACAGGAGGAGATAGCTGTGGGGGATGGAGTGGTAGGAAGAGTGGAGGAGGTCGGCAAGTTAGCAGGGGGTGGGGTAGGCTTCCCTAAAGAGATGGGTTTTCAGGGTGCGCCTAAAGGAGAGGAGAGTAGGTGATAATCTGATGGGTTGGGGCAGGGAGTTCCAGAGGATGGGTGACACCCTGGAGAAGTCCTGGAGGCGGGCATGGGAGGAGGAGACCAGGGAACTAGAGAGAAGGAGGTCTTGTGAGGAGCGGAGTGTGCGTGCTGGGCGGTACTTGGATATTAGGTCAGTGATGTAGTTCGGGGCAGTATGGTGGACAGCTTTGTACGTCAGCGTTAGGATTTTGAATTTGATCCGTTGCGCAATCGGAAGCCAGTGGAGGGATTGGCAGAGGGGGGTGGCGGAGACAGAGCGGTTGGAAAGGTGAATGAGTCTGGCAGCCGTATTCAGGATGGACTGAAGCGGGGATAGCCAGCGGCGAGGCAGGCCAGTGAGGAGGGAGTTGCAGTAGTCGAGTCGTGATATGATGAGGGAGTGGATGAGCTGTTTAGTGGTTTCTGGGGTTAGGAACGTGCGGATTTTGGCGATGTTGCGGAGGTGAAGTCTGCACGAGTTTGTTAAAGATTGGACTTGGGGCTGGAAGGATAGGTTGGAGTCCAGAATGACACCCAGTACTCTGGCCTGCAGGGCGGGTTTGATGGTAGCGTTGTTGGATGTGACGGAGAAATCAATGGGGGGTGGTGTCCGGGCTGGGGGGAAGACAAGAAACTCGGTTTTGGAGAGGTTCAATTTAAGAAAGTGGAGCGACATCCAGTCTGATATGTCGCTCAGTAGGTGTGTGATTCGGGCTGAGACCAAGGGGGTGAGGTGGGGGGTTGAGAGATAGATTTGTGTGTCGTCGGCATAGAGGTGGTAGTTGAAGCCATGAGAGTGTATGAGTTGGCCAAGGGAGGAGGTATAGATGGAGAAGAGAAGGGGCCCGAGGACAGAGCCTTGAGGGACCCCAACAGAGAGGGGGAGTGAGGGGGAGGTGGTAGCATTATAGGTAACGCTGAAGGAGCGTTGTGACAGGTAGGATGAGAGCCAGGAGAGAGCAGAATCTCTGAGGCCGAGGGTGGTATGGCCTGGAGCACAGCCAAGGCTAATGCTTGTATCTGGTGGTATGGCTTGGAGCACAGCTATTGCTAATGCTTATATCTGGTGGTATAGCCAAGGCTAATGCTTATGTCTGGTGGTATGACCTGGAGCACAGCCATGACTAATGTTTATATCTGGTGGTATAGCCTGGGGCACAGCCATGGCTAATGCTTATATCTGTTGGTATGTATAGCCAAGGCTAATGCTTATATCTGGTGGTATGGCCTGGAGCACAGCCATGGTTAATGCTTCTATCTGGTGGTATGCCCTGGAGCACAGCCAAGGCTAATGCTTATATCTGGTGGTATGGCCTGGAGCACAGCCATGACTAATGCTTATATCTGGTGGTATGGCCTGGAGCACAGCCATGACTAATGCTTATATCTGGTGGTATGGCCTGGAGCACAGCCATGGCTAATGTTTATATCTGGTGGTATAGCCAGCCAGGCTAATGCTAATACCTGGTGGTATGGCCTGGAGCACAGCCATGGTTAATGCTTATATCTGGCGGTATGGCCTGGAGCACAGCCAAGACTAATGCTTATATCTGGTGGTATGGCCTGGAGCACAGCCAAGACTAATGCTTATATCTGGTGGTATGGCCTGAAGCACAGCCAGGGCTAATGCTTATATCTGGTGGTATGGCCTGGAGCACAGCCAAGACTAATGCTTATATCTGGTGGTATGGCCCAGAGCACAGCCAGGGCTAATGCTTATATCTGGTGGTATGGCCTGAAGCACAGCCAGGGCTAATGCTTATATCTGGTGGTATGGCCCAGAGCACAGCCAGGGCTAATGCTTATATCTGGTGGTATGGCCCAGAGCACAGCCAGGGCTATAGCTTCTAATATATCTCCAGCTGGGGGTGGGGCCAAAGTTAATATTTACAATAGCTCCAAGCCGGGGGTGGGGGGCCAAGACACAGCCAGTGCAAGTTCATTTAACAGCTCTCCTGTCAGTCTAAAAAATGGCACATTGTATATTTTGGACACACCTTCCAAGTACCCCAACAATTGTACCAACCTTTAGGGAATCCTTGTTGGTCTTCCTGTTCTGTCTGCTTGTTCAGAAGAAGTTTACTTTTGTATCGTTACTCCTTTTTGAAATGGCATCATTCTGCAGTTTTGACCCTGACTTCTTCCACTATGGCTCACTCTATCAGGATAGCTACCACACCCCAGCTCAGCTGCTTCATTCAGAGCTCAATAGCTGAAGACCAGCGCTCTGGCTGGGATGTTCTGTCCCTGATGCAATTAATCCATACTAAGAAACGTCGGCCACTTGGTATGCTCTCCGATGCAAATCTCTCTTTTCTACATATCAAAAGACACAGTGTGTAAACCTTTAACGCGTTTCGGCTACAACAGCCTTCCTCGTAGCATAGCTGTTGTAGCTCATACTCATTAGCAGTCTACACGCTGTGTCTTTTGATTTGTAGCTAGTAAAGAATTGCAACGGAGAGCATACCAAGTGGCCGGCTTTTCTTATTATTGATTTTTTAACCCTTTGGGGATTTTTTTATTTTGTTTTTATATAAATGCCTGGGAGAAAACCTAAAAAAAAGAGAGAGGAGAAAAGGTTTCAGAATTCAGCTAACCAATGAGATTTGAATTAATAACTGTGTCTCTTCTTTCTTTCTCCGGTATATTCCTCCAGGTGACTGTCACAGTCTATTCTTTACCTGTTTCTCACTGCAGTACTGGGTTTCGGGGTTCCTGTCTCTACAAGCCACCATTGACTCTGCCATTGTGGAGGTAAGCTACATAAACTTTACAGGGTGGACAATTATGCTATGAATAGTATGAGGACCATGGTTGAATATGAGTGGATACCGAGATCTGTTCATAGGTATAGGTTCCGGACCCCCTCAGTAGCACATGGGGGCCATGTTTAATTGTGATTGGACATTGAGATTTATGCATGTATATGGGATAAGGGCCCTTGTGACGATCGCGGCATCAGACCCCAGCCTTTCTCACCAAACTGGTGACTGAAGGACTAGCCAATCTAAAACCGCGCTGTCACGTGCATAACAATGCCATGCCCAGCTGCACCGTGCACAAAGATTTTCCAGCTAATGGACCACAAGCTGTGTACTTGCAGCCTGGCAGTGATTGTTACTGGGTCAGGTTAATTACGCAATTAACCTTTCACACTGCCACCACCTCCTTTTTGTACAGAGAAGGAGGATACTCGCCAATATTATCAATAACACTATGATGGTTGGATAATCGTCCGTATACCACTGTCACCGCAGGCAGGGATATATAGAGGTTTAAACACACACAGTAACGCTCTTCAGAGGCAGGGATTCTTAGTTTGCATTAAAGAGCTTTAGAAACAGTTCAACACTTTCAGAAAGTAAGATTTATTACTAAAAGGTCAAAAGGGTGCAATAAAAATATTTACAGAAAAAGATGTAGCCAATATATATTTATAAATATATAGAGAGCAATAACACAGCAAAGAGATAACAGAAAGAAAATTAGAGAGATAAAGTACTTGCCAAAAGCCTTGGTTTAAGCAGCTTTCAAGTGACAGAGCAAAAAGGCCGTCTCCCAAAGTTGGTTCCGATGTTACAAGGGAGAATCTTCAACTTCAACTCAGCTTAGTTTAAGTTAACTAAACATAGCAGCCTTTTTCTAGGAACTCAGCAGGGTGTCTCCTTACAGCAGAGAACCAATCGCCTTATTTGGGGAAGGGTGTTGGGGCAGAGACCCAAGCTAGAATCAAAAACCCTCACAGTTGATGTCCTGGTTCATAACTTACTCTCGGTGCATTTAGCAGCCTTGCCACTAGTAGATTAATATGCAGACGCATCTGCTGAAGGTCTAGATATGAAATGTGACACACGTGCTGGGACGGTTAAGGAGATATCATTTTCTTCTCTCCTGTAGATGTCAGCTAGGGGGTGTAATATATCAGCCGGCTTGTATTAAAGTGGCCCATCTGATATTTTGCCTGGTTTTTATGTAAGTCTTTCATATTCCAAAATATGTAATCATAGGGGAAAATGGATGTTGAATGTGATGTCTGGTTTATGACTATCTGGAATGTCTTTGAGCTCAGTGAAGGACTTGGTTTATAGCTTTACGATCCTTTTCCAGCAAGAGTCTCGCAGACATACGGGGGCCAGGCTAATTGGGGTTTATAGCCCTGGAGCTCTCCCACTGAGCCTGATTGCCGGTGACCTCTGCATCATACAGACTACGTCACTCAACAAAGAGGGAAGGAGGATGAGGGAAGCTGATTTGGGAGTAGAAAATTATAGAAGATTGAGGCCTTTGCCAAAATGGAGGTTCACATCCATCTCTGTGTGCGCGTTTGCTGCAGCCCTCTCAGGGGTACATCTGGACTATGTTTACGTGTGATTGGATGCTGAGATCTGTACGTGGGTATAGGATCAAGACCCTCTCATGGGAACATGAGGGTCATAGTTGATTGTGGCTAGATATTGAGATCTGTATGTATATGGGTTTGAGACCCTTTAAGGTGGCACACAGGGACCGTGGTTGACTATGGCATTGAGATCTCTACATAGGTACAGGATCAGGACCCTCTCTAAGGAGTACATGGGGGCATGTTTGATTGTGACCGGACATTGAGATTTATGCATGTGTATGGGATTAGAACCCCCTATGAGAGGCACACAGGGGCCATGGATGATTGTGGCTGGATGATGAGATCTGTACATGTGTATGGATTTAGGACCCTTACCGATGGCACACAGAGGCCATGGTTGACTGTCACTGGACATTGAAATCCTTACATGAGTCTGGGATCAGGACAGCCTCAGGGGGAAAAGGGGGCCATGGTTGACTGTCACTGGATGTCGAGACCTATACATAAGTCTGGGATTAGGACCTTCTCAGGGGCACACAGGGGTCATGGCTGACTGTCACTGAACATTGAGACCTATACATGAGTCTGGGATCAGGACCCTCTCAGGTGCACACAGGAGCCATGGTTGACTGTCACTGAATATTGAGATCTACATGTGGGTGTGGGACCAGGATGGTCTCAGGGGTGCATGGGGGCCATAGTTGACTGTCACTGGACGTTGAGATCTATACATGACACTGAGATCAGGATCCACTCAGAAGAACATGGGGGCAATGGCTGATTGTGATCAGATATTATGACCTATACATGTATATGGGATCACACAAGGGCACACAGGGGGCATCGTGACTGTCACTGGAAATTGAGATCTGTACCTGAGTCTGAGCCCAGGATGGTCTCAGGGGTGTACAGAGGCCATGGTTGACTGTCATTGGACATTGAGATCTATACATGAGTCTGGGATCAGGACCCTATCAGAGACACACAGGGGCCATGATTGACTGTGACTGGATGGACGTTGAGATCTATACATGAGTGTAGGATCAGAACCTTCTCAGAGGCACACAAAGAGCTTTTTTTCAATGAATGTAAAATCCAGTGATGAGTTCACTTTAAAGCCGGTCTCCAGGCAGATATAAAACTTCCAGAAAATGCAGATATTTATTAACTGAAAAATTTTTTACATGCAGCTATTGAATACCTAAAATGTACCTATTGCCAGCAACTTAAAACAGCTCCCGTATTTGCATTTCAATGGTATTTTTAAGCTTTTTACCAGGAGTTTAGCCTAAAAAATTAAATATTTTGCAGCACGTCACAAAGAAATCCATATGGGAGTCTATGGGGACCATGACGGTGGTGAAGATGAAATCGGCCAGTTATGGGGACCGTACAACTCTGCAAATGGTCTTCTACACGTTTCTGATGAGCGTGTGTTTTCGTCTCACTGTCGTATCTCATGGCTCTGCACATCACCCAGGAGAGGAGGAGAACCAGAGAGCTGATGAGGATGATGGGAGTGAAGGATCTGGCATTTTGGTGAGTGGCGCCAGTCAACCCAATTACACCCATTGTAGAAATGTTATGGCGCTGTATGCTGGACGCAGAAGGTGTCCTGGTGTCTTCACCTCCTTGGAGGAAAGTGCCCCTTTGAAATAGTTACGGGCTAAGTTCTTCCAGTAAATGCCTATTTGTAAAGAACCATCATTGCATACTGCCAAATCAGGTTTTTTGAGAACCCGTCCTGGACACACCTCTGTTGTCTTCTTCTGTAATCCATGGTGCCCTATAGCACTGTGGGATAGGGGACCACAAAAGGACCTGGTGTAGGTGTTTCACCTGCCTATGTGGCTGGAATTCTTTTCTCTTGCAAGACCTCTAATATTGTGATACAATCTTGTATTTCAGGTTATCTTGGGGGTTGTTGTACTCTGTCAGTGCCATTATCATCTCCATCCTAGTCACTCTGGTCGCCACCACTTATGTGTTTGTGGAAAGTTCCTTCGGAGTTATTTTTCTACTCTTCTGTCTCTATGGCATTGCAACGGTAGGTCTGACCGATCTGTTTTTGGAAATTACCTCTTCATTATTCCTGAAATTCCAAGTGTTTCCTAATGGTTCCTTACCATGGGGGTGTGTGTGTGGGGATGAATATGAAAATGTTGTAAGAGGTGGAGGTTTCCATGTAAAGTGGACCCGTCAGTACCTTTAAGGACATGATTGTATCATCTCTGAGCTGGCATCTTAGTCCAGGAATAGATGGTGGTGACACTGGATGATGCCTGAACAAAGATGGCACCATTCTTCTATAGAGAAAAGTCGATGAAGGCATTGTCAGAGGGAGTACAGTGATCTCTGTGAGAGGTAATAATACACAGGTGACAGGTCCACTTTAACCTTTTATTGAAATGAAACAAATCTCAATGAGTAATCTTCTACCCTTTCCCCCAGGTCTTCTTTAACTGCATGCTGAGCGCCCTCCTCAGGAAGCACCGCCTCACAGCGATTCTGGGATTTTTCATCACTCTCTTCCTGTCTGCGTTGGGCATACTACCACTCTTGAAAGCCATACCCATACCTCTGGAAGTTTTCCTGAGCATTTTCCACCCCTTCTCCTTTGCTGTTGGGATCACGGCGGTAAATAACTGTTTATAATTCATTATTCTAGAACAGCAGTGCCAAGTGTTCTATGGTCATCATCATCAACCAATCAGAAAGCAGCTTATATTGATTGCCCATGTCTACTTCCTAGATTCATGAAATGACCACGTAAATAATGACACAGAGATATGTGTAAGTGATCTTTACAAACAGTTGCAGGTCACTCTTTGGTGGTTTCCACAGTGCAGATGACAGAGCCACTCCCCTTTCCCAGAATCATAATTGGCCGTCTTAGCTCTCAAATGAGAGATGGAATGTAATTGTGGAAGCAGAGTAGAGGCTGAGCTCTGTCAAGGGAGGACATCCAGCTGTGTAGAGGACAGAGGACCCTACAGATTGCTGGAGGAACTCTTGAATGATGAAGTAGTAAGGTTGCCAAACTTTGTTGTATAATAATATCTGTTGATACTTCATCCATCAAATGCTTCCAAAGACATACCAGACAACATTCGCCTTTGCATCTGCTCATTTGTGATCTCACAGACACAAGTCATTAAATATTACAGATCCACATGACCACCCATCATCATCACCTGGGCTTTCCGAATATGTAATGTCACCAGAAGAGCCCAACCTGACTGTTCAGCTTATGGATGGGTGTTGGGTGGTTTTCAGCCCCTGGAATGAAAATTGATGTCTTCTAACTTCCAGATGATGGACTGAAATTAGCTGAACTGTTAGTAGAACTTTTGTATACTGCCTACGGCCACTTATAGTCTTTGCGCTTACAAGTGGTACAAGTGTTTGCTTCTTAGTGTATGAGTTTCCATGGTAGAGCTCTAAGGGCTGTGTAAGGTTCAAGACCATATCTAAAATCAACCAATGTCACTTGTTAGACCACCTTTCTCAGGCTTTTTAACATGAAGGAATTGTTGAAAAAATGTTATGGTCTCAGAGAACCCCAGCTTAGAGTTAGTAGAGGTACAGGTAGATGATGGTCATTGGGAAGAAGTTCCAGTTACATTGGTGGTTGGTGGGAATAATGTATTTTACATTGGTGGTCAGTGGAAAGAATGTTCCTTACATTGATGGTGGGACAAATGTCTCTTACATTAGTGGCCAGTGGGAAGAATGCTCCTTATATTGGTGGTCAGTGGTAAGAATGTCCCTTACATTGGAGGTCAGTGGGAAGAATGTCCCTTTACATTGGAGGTCAGTGGGAAGAATGTCCCTTACATTAGTGGTCAGTGGGAAGAATGCTCCTTATATTGGTGGTCAGTGGGAAGAATGTCCCTTACATTGGAGGTCATTGGGAAGAATGTCCCTTACATTGGCGGTCAGTGGGAAGAATGTCCCTTACATTGGGGGTCAGTGGAAAGAATGTCCCTTACATTGGAGGTCAGTGGGAAGAATGTCCCTTACATTGGGGGTCAGTGGGAAGAATATCCCTTACATTGGGGGTCAGTGGGAAGAATGTCCCTTACATTGGGGGTCAGTGGGAAGAATGCTCCTTACATTGGAGGTCAGTGGGAAGAATGTCCCTTACATTGGGGTTCAGTGGGAAAAATGTCCCTTACATTGGTGATCAGTGGGAAGAATGTCCCTTACATTGGTGGTCAGTGGGAAGAATGGCCCTTACATTGGGGGTCAGTGGGAAGAATGTCCCTTACATTGGCGGTCAGTGGGAAGAATGTCCCTTACATTGGCGGTCAGTGGGAAGAATGTCCCTTACATTGGTGGTCAGTGGGAAGAATGTTCCTTACATTGGTGATCAGTGGGAAGAATGTCCCTTACATTGGTGATCAGTGGGAAGAATGTCCCTTACATTGGGGGTCAGTGGGAAGAATGTCCCTTACATTGGAGGTCAGTGGGAAGAATGTCCCTTACATTGGTGGTCAGTGGGAAGAATGCTCCTTACATTGGGGGTCAGTGGGAAGAATGTCCCTTACATTGGGGGTCAGTGGGAAAAATGTCCCTTACATTGGGGTCAGTGGGAAGAAGGTCCCTTACATTGGAGGTCAGTGGGAAGAATGTCCCTTACATTGGAGGTCAGTGGGAAGAATGTCCCTTACATTGGAGGTCAGTGGGAAGAATGTCCCTTACATTGGAGGTCAGTGGGAAGAATATACAGATATCTAGAAAGATCATTGGGGTCAGCAGTTATTTGTTAATAAGAAGAAATTGCTCAAGGAACCCTAACAAACTCTGGAGAAACCTTAGAGTTCCACTGAACCCCGGATGAGTTGAAATGTGTCTTTTCGTGCTCATTTGGTTTCAGGGTAACCTTTTTATTTTTACAAAATTCTGAAATGTACATTTTCTCTAAATATGGAACTGTTTTGTCAGTAAAAAATAAAAAAGGCACAATTCAAGAAAGGAGCTATAATACTCATCAGTATGGCGTGTGTTGACTCTCTCTTGCAGAACTACATTGGCCAAAGGGTCATCTGCATCCAACATCATTCCAGCTATGTAGGTTGCCTGTTCTCCTGGCTGAATTCTGTGGTTCAGTCTGTGGCTACAACATCTGTACAGCTCTGTGGGGTCACAGATGTGATGGTATAATAGACAGTGGATAGATCCTCAATGCACACCTGAAATTTTGTTGGATCCTGAAGGTTCTTCTGCCGATGTAGCTCTGCATAGGGTAGCTGTCTTTTGCTATGTCCTTTTTTTTTTTTTTTTTTTTTTTTTTATACCTTTAGCTTTAAAGTCCTCTGATATGTGAGAATGACTCTCGTATTGTTGGTGTGAGATGTGAACAAAAATTATGACCTCTCTGTCTCCTCAGGGAATGCACATGGAAAATGACCTTCTGGGCTCCTTCTTCTCGGACATCTTGGGTGACTCCTTCCACGTATTGTCCAGCATCATCTACCTGATCATAGACTCAGTGCTTTACATCATCCTCACTCTTTACTTTGATAAGATAATCCCAGGTAATGGTAGCTTGCTGATTTTTTTTTCTTTTTTTTTTTTTTAGCAAAATAAAAAGTTTTGGTTGAAGAACATAGGTAGATACTTCGTATACCACTTGTGTCCCAGCATACATAAGAGTGTAGGCAGGTGCAGTTAGCCACTTTGCCATTAGGTGGCTCTTTACTAAAATAGTGTCTGTTATCGCAGATAATGACACCTGGTGTTAGGCCCCCTTTAGGTAGAACCCTCCCACAAGTGATGTCAGGGGTGAGTTGGCACCCACATATAAACTAGGAGTGGAGGGACACACCCCACACAACTGCAAGCATGTAACCAACACATGTAGGAGGCTGGGTGAAGTGGACCTGTATGCAGGAGGTTGTAGCCATTCTGTCCCTTAAAGTGGTCGTAAACCTCAGTCACAAATTCTGAACCTCAGTCATGAAATCTGTAACTGCAGCTCTCCACCCCCTCCTCTGTGCTCTGAAGGGTGAAAAAGGATTGCATCGCAATTCTATACTTTTAAAAGGATGTAGAGAAGAGAAGACTGCAGACAAACAGGTACAACTTATGTAGGTGGATTTTTTTCATCTTTGTGTATCACCTAAGGCCAGTCACTTCACTGAGTATATTTGAGGACTTACAACCACTTTAAGTAGGTGGGGTCTATGGCGGTTTGCAAAAGGCCTTATAGGCCAGGCTTGAGATCCCTGTATGAGGCCACTTGCCTGGAGGGATGTGTACCCAGCTAGGAGGTGTCTACAGAGAACACAGTCCTGTGAGAACCGATGACCCTGGACACAGGAGAGACTAGAGGAGATAGCTGTGAGGTGCTGCATGTGCTTTCACCTGTGACAACTGCAGACTGTCCACTTTATGCAATTGACTGAGAATGTCAAGTGACTCCAGAATGTATGTCCTTGTGATGTGAATGTCTTACCATTCCCTGAACAACGCCAGTTAAGTGCTGTGAAGCTAGCTATTGTGTGGACTTTCGTTCTTCGGGGTATAAAGATCTACAGCCAGGGGATGTTGTGAAGCTATGGTGAGGATCGGGGCCCAAGATGGAGGGGGTTGGCCTCAGCAGGTGGGATCATGTTATAGCAGGACTGGATTGGGGGTAGGGCTCTGTGCTTGGGAGCCAAAGTCAGCCAACCACGATGCCCCACTTACGCAAGGTCAACGCCACCAACTGCAAGAGTTTTTATTTAATCACAAAAGTCCCTTCTGATAAGCCAACGCGTGTCAAGGGGTCTGAGAGTCTTCCTTCATCAGGGCTTCAAGTGCATTGACTGTAGAGTAAGCAGCAAGCAAACAAGTTATTGGGACAAACAACCAGGGGCGGACTGACCATTTGGAAACTCGGGCACTGCCCGAGGGCCCGGGGTCAGTAAGGGGCCCCATGAGATGCCCCTGGTACTTTTTTTATAGGCTTTTTTGAGCTTGGGCAAGGACACAGGGGCCCCATGGTCCCCTATTGCCCGGTGACCCCATGAGTTGTCAATGGCCTACAAAGTATTCCGGGCCATGGTGCACTGCATGGTGTCTGTCCCAGCCATGGCCATAGGTGAGAAGGTTTTCATTTGTTTGCTCGCTCTACAGTCGGAGCTCTTAAAGGTGCTTCTGCTTTTAATTTTATCTATTTAGATGCATAGAGGAACCTCGCCATCATTTTCACCCAGGCTTTGCTGTAGGACTCTATTGCACCCATTTGTCTGCATTCTGGTGATCGGGGAACCCCTGATTGTGATGCCCATGAAAAGTTCTCAAGCCCTCCCACCCCAACAAACTCTTTGCTCTCACTTAAATAGAGGTAGAGGAGAAATAGAAGTAGGGAAGCCGTTCTTGGGGTAAAAGTCATAAAACACCGAAAAACAGGTCATATTCTGATGGAACAACACCATCGGTATACACCTTGGTTTCATTTTGGTCCAGACTTGCACTTTAAACATGTCTCCCTGTGCTGCTAGATAAAACACGGATTGAGGCACGAGCCACTGTTTTTCCTGAGATCCTCATATTGGTTGAAGAAGAAGATGACCCCTGACCTGCTCGGAGGGGAAGAGAGGGCAGAGTCTGACTGGGGGGACTATGTCGAAAAAATTCCTTCTGAGCTGCTGGGAAAAGAAGCAATCAGGTATTTTGTGAAATTCAATGCAGCATGGCAACCTGGAGGGTCTATACATTGTTGGTGCGCAGAACACCTCAAAGGACGTCATTTCCTGCTTGTGTGATTGGCCTACTGATTTCCCAGAAGTCGGTACTAAGATTCAAGTCCAATTTCAGTCTTCCTCTGCAATAGGAATTTCAAATTCATGAGATACTCCCCAAGGGTTAGATATTTCTAAAGGGATGCAGACCCTGCAGCTCTTCTCGTCAAAACACTGAAAGTGCGCCAGGTGATCATAATGAACCAGACCCTCCCATTCAGAATCAGTCAAAGGCAGGGGCGGACTGACCATTGGAGCACTCGGGCACTGCCCGAGGGCCCGGGGTCAGTAGAGGGCCCCATGTAATGCCCCTGGTACCTTTTTTATAGGCTTTTTTGAGTGTGGGCAAGGACACGGGCCCCATGATCCCCTATTGCCCAGGGGCCCCATGAGTTGTCAGTCCGCCCCTGGTCAAAGGTAACAAATGCCTGGTTGAAGAAAGGTTCGAATCTGTGACAAGGTTTGATAGAATCCTTCACCTGGCATAACCTGCCCAGAGGGGATTGTTCTTTTTTTTTTTCTGAATAAAAGTGGAAATAAACTTTAATCACTGTGCATTTTCACAACAGATAAAAGCACATTTGTAAAAAAAATTAGTGGTGCACCGCAATGAAAATTCTGGACTGAAACCGAAACTTCAGGATGCAATTATTTAATATATAATTGTATTTTGTTTAACTTTTTAATTAATATCATGAATTTAAATGAATATAAATGTAAAAAATACATTCCAGCAACGGAAAATAACTTTTATTGAAAGTAACACACAAAATTTGGACATTAAATAAAATGAAATACAATATATATAAATTCAAAAACTTAAATAGAGGCATTTTCGCATTGAAGTCAATAGAGAGCATTTTTTTTTTATTAATATTTTATTAAGTTTTACATTTCATCTATTCCAAATAGAGAGCATTTTTGCACTGGAGTCAATCGGACGTGATTTTGCACTGAAGTCAATAGGGGGTGCTTTTGCATTGGAGTCAGTTGGACATGATTTTGCATTGGAGTCAATGGGACGAGATTTTGCACTGAAGTCAATAGGGGGCGTTTTTGCATTGGAGTCAGCGGGATGCAATTTTGCATTGAAGTCAATAGGGGAACATTTTTGCATTGGAGTCAATGGGATGTGATTTTACAGTGAAGTCAATGGGACACAAGTTTGCATTGGAGTCAGTGGGAGGCGATTTTGCACTGAAGTCAGTAGGGGGTGGTTTTGCATTGGAGTAAATGGGATGCAATTTTACTTCGGCCTCATTAGGACACGATTTTGCATTGAAGAAAATAGGGGGTTTTTTTGCATTGAAGTCAATGGGACGTGATTTTGCATTGAAGTAACTAGGATACCATTTTTTGCTTTTTAAGTCAATAGGGGGCGTTTTTGCATTGGAATCAATGGGACGCAATTTAACATTGGAGTCAATAGGATGCGATTTTGCATTGAAGTCAGTAGGGGGCGTTTTTGCATTGGAGCCAATGGGATGAGATTTTACATTGAAGTCAATGACATTATAGGCACATTTTTTTTCTATTGGCAAACCCAACTCAAGAAGATGCCATAACTTCTTTTATATAGACTTGTGATAAAGAAAATACAAAAGGAATGAAAGTTTTTCTCCTGTTATGTCCATGTGATTTATACTCGTCTTAGAGTAAAGCTGCTAAGAAGAGCTTCAGAGATCCCAATAATGGTGGTCCTGGGGGAATTTGCTTCAATGCCACTGGATGTGAAAACCAATGGCAACTCCCAAACTTTGATCATGGCGGGTCTACCTTAAAAGTTAACACCAACCAAAACCTTTTCAATTTTGGAAGGGTTAGAAGAAGCCCCGTTAGATTTTTATGACTGCCAGCAAAGGTCTGTGTTGATTTAATACTTCTTGATTTACTGAGGGTCAAACCCTTGTCTCTTCCTGCAGATTAGTCAACATTAAGAAAATGTACAGCGGCAAAGACGATAAAACAGAGGCGCTACGAGGTGACTTTTGTTGTCTGTGGTATGAGGTTCCCTATGTTCACACTACAAATTCCTTCATGAAGAAGGTCATCATGTGTGTTACTTCAGTGTCCCCAACATTGAGGAGAAGACAACCTTGCACCTTGAGCTACCAGAATGATGCAGGCCATACATGGGTCGAATTCTGAAAGGATTTTCTTTAGAAAATTGGAAATTTCATGCATTTTGTAGTCCAATGATACCACCATTGATTTCAAATTTGACCAACCAAGCCTTCAATTTCACGTTGCTAAAGAAAATAATTTTCTTGGCTGGGAATCTCCTTTTCTTTCCAGGTCACAGCTCACTCTTACTTCTTTTTTAATTCTTTTTCTCACGCGATTCTCCCAGAAGAAATTTGTTCATTTTTCAGGAAATTTTCCACATGAAACTTCAGAATGCAATTTTTTAATACATAATTGTATTATATTCAACTTTTTAATTAATATCATGAATTTATATGAATATAAATTTAAAAAATACAATCCAGCAACGGAAAATAACTTTTATTGAAAGAAAATTGAAGAATTTTCTTTAGAAAATTGGAAATTTTATGCATTTTGTAATCCGATGATACCACCATTAATTTCGACATTTGACCATCCAAGCCTTCAATTTCTCGTTGCTAAAGAAAATAATTTTCTTGGCTGGGAATCTTCTTTTCTTTCCAGGTCACAGCTCACTCTCACTTCTTTTTTGATTATTTTTCTCACGCGATCCTCTGAAATTTGTTAATTTTTCAAGAAATTTCCAACATGCCCCATCACTCAAATTCGATGGCTTCATGAACATTGGCAGATGGTGCATTGGTTTCCACGCAGAGCTGCACCAGATTTTGCACCCTCCAGTTTTAGTAAATCTCCCCTAGTAAGGTGCAGAACCAACACACCGGCTTTAATATGAACCTATCCTAAGGTCCCATGGAAAAACAAAGAGCCCTTCCTTATGCAGGCCATAAATCAACCCAATTGAGTATTTTCAGAACATAGAAAAAAGGAAATAAAAATCAGCATTGCTCAAGATAAATACTGGACCATGTCCTTGGAATGAAATACAATTCACTTTGTTTTATCACATAGATTATGTCTCCTTCATCACACATTAAATATGATAGCTATGAGGTGACTTTTGTTGTCTGTAGTATGAGGTTCCCTATGTTCACACTACAAATTCCTTCATGAAGAAGGTCATCATATGTGTACTTCAGTGTTCCCAACATTGAGGAGAAGACAACCTTGCACCCTGAGCTACCAGAATGATGCAGGCCATACATGGGTCGAATTCTGAAAGGATTTTCTTTAGAAAATTGGAAATTTCATGTATTTTGTAATCCGATGATACCACCATTGATTTCTAAATTTGACCAACCAAGCCTTCAATTTCTCGGTGCTAAAGAAAAGAATTTTCTTGGCTGGGAATCTTCTTTTCTTTCCAGGTCACAGCTCACTCTCACTTCTTTTTTTATTCTTTTTCTCACGCAATTCTCCCATCATTGATTAGAAATTTGTTCATTTTTCAAGAAAGTTTCAACATGAAAATTATATTCAACTTTTTAATTAATATCCTGAATTTATATGAATATAAATTTAAAAAATACAATCCAGCAACGGAAAATAACTTTTATTGAAAGAAAATTGAAGAATTTTCTTTAGAAAATTGGAAATTTTATGCATTTTGTAATCTGATGATACCACCATTGATTTCTAAATTTGACCAACCAAGCCTTCAATTTCACGTTGCTAAAGAAAAGAATTTTCTTGGCTGGGAATCTTCTTTCCAGGTCACAGCTCATTCTCACTTTCTTTTTTGATTATTTTTCTCACGTGATTCTCTGAAATTTGTTAATTTTTTCAAGAAATTTCCAACATGACCCATCACTCAAATTCGATGGCTGCATGAACATTGGCCGGTGGTGCAAGAACAAAGAGCCCTTCCTTATGCAGGCTATAAATCAACCCAATTGAGCATTTTCAGAACATAGAAAAAAGGAAATAAAAATCAGCATAGCTCAAGATAAATACTGGATCATGTCCTTGGAATGAAATACAATTCACTTTGTTTTATCACAATGTCTCCTTCATCACACATTAAATATGATATCTTTTCATTACCATATAATTATTTACTTTTTTAATGACTTTTTACTATTTTAAACTAAACAGCTGGCATTTTAGAAAAATAGTTTTGGAAGTACAATGACCTTCTTTATCCAAATTAAGATTTGGTGGAGGAGTAATTAAAATTTCATACATGTAATACTGTACATGTAAAGGTGTCTATTTAAAGAAAATAAAATGCTATGCAAATGCCTCATCATTCGCACAGCTACACAAGTATCCCCGGAATGTGGCCACTAAGTCTATTTTCTAGGACTGCCTGCTCCGTCTAGTGGCCATAATGTGCTATTTTCCTGACTGAGATATTTTAGGAATATACCGCATTACGGTCACTAGATGGAGCTGAGAATCATAGAAAATAAACACAGGATGGGGACTATTTGCAGAAGCAGTGCAAATGCCGAGACATTCGCACAGCAATGTTGTATATATAAATAAACCATGGAGTGTATTGCACCCGCAGGTCTGGATCTGGACGTCTATGAGGGACAGATCACAGCGTTACTCGGTCACAGCGGAGCTGGAAAAACCACCTTACTGAATATACTCAGCGGGATGTGCGGAGCCACTAGCGGTAAAATGTTCCTTTCATTAACTATCAAGGCCACCAGCAACCTACTAAATAATATATTTCTATATTCGTCCAGAAACATGAAACTTTATCTTTCATATTGTTTCACTCACATGTTAGAGCAGCATTTCTTAACCTTTTTACCCTGGAGGAACCAGGGAACAGTTACTAAAACAAGTTCATTGGGGGGGGGGGGTTCTTTGGGAAAATGCACCTTACAGTCATGGCAAAAAATATTGTCCCCCCTGCATTCCTTTCAGATAATGCACCACTTCACCCAGAAAATTGCTGCAATGACAAATGTTTCGGCATTCTCGTGTTTATTTCTTTTGACACAAAAAAGTGGAGGAACAAAAAGCTCCATTTTGGATGTAGCTGGCCTTTCATTCCATGAATCCCATCTCCCTCTTTGTAGGATCTGCCACCATCTACAATTATCAGTTATGGGACTTCAATCAACGTCAGGAGATCCAGAAGAAGATCGGGTTTTGTCCGCAGTTTGATGTCAGCTTTGACCTTCTAACAGTAAAGGAGAATTTGGAGATCTTTGCAAAGATTAAAGGAATTCCTAACAGAAGAATTAAATCTCAGGTACGATAAATATGAATATGTGTTAAATACAAAAAATACTGAGAAAGTAGAATTTTCACCAAATAGATGTCATTTTTAGGTAGAAACGGTCCTTTCAGAGCTGGCCATGGTTGACTTTCAGGATCTGGAAGCCAGGAAACTGAGCGGAGGTCAGAGGAGGAAGCTGACGCTGGCGATAGCACTCTTAGGAGACCCCGAGGTAATCTTCCTGAAACACTCTTCATTTTTTATTTAGTAAATTAATCCCAACATCTCCTATGTAGGCTCCTCATTACAAGAACATTCAAAAACACACAAGTTTCATTTCTTCAAACCTCCCAATCAGTCTTTTTAGCTTCAAATATTTGCAGAACTATTTATAGAAAACATCTCTAAAATGAAATCTGATTTCCCTTAAACTGCCCCTCCTTCCAGGTTCTGTTGCTGGATGAACCGACGTCAGGCTTGGACCCGTTCTCCAGGCACCGTGTATGGTCTGTTCTCAAAGAGCGCAAAGCTGGTCACGTCACCTTATTCAGCACGCAGTTCATGGATGAAGCCGACATCCTGGCAGGTACGGGTCTGTATGGGATTGATGGAAAACATTCTAATTTATGGCTAAGAAGCCATTTTACAATGTTGCAAAGGAACATTCCTGTTTGAAAACCATATTAGGGACCTACATCAGTTCAGGAGGACATTCCCACCCTTTATCAGTCCCTGGATTTGTGGTAGGAAGTTCTGGTGACTGAGCCTTAAAGACGTCTTAAAAGAAGTCCTAAACGTCAATGGACAGAAGAGATTCAAGAAAGGGTGGTGGGGATAAAATGTAGAAACTGGAAAGCAGTTGCCTGTACCCAACGGCACGAAGAAGCTCTAGGCTGTAGCATTAAAGGAGAGACTGTGATTGGGCTTTCACATGGCATTCAAGAGCCAATCAGAGTAGCTCCCACTGCTGTGGAAGCAGCAATTTGTTAATTGCCTTTACTTGACTTGATCGGTAATTTCCTTTTACCTCATGGGTTGGGCTAAGGTCAGCAATATTGGTGGCCTTTCACTGTTAATTCTTTGCAAGACCTTCTCTCAGTACCATGGCTGGTAAGGGTCAAGCTTCCAACTTTCTAAAGAAAGGAGACTATGGCCAGTGGGAGTAAACAGTGCCTCACATTTGGTATTAGGGGGAGAAATAGTTGGTGTCATTGGAAGGAATAGCGCCCCATTATTAGTGTCAGTCGGAGGATAGTGCCCCATTGTTGGTGTCAGTGGAAGGAATTATGCCCCATTGTTGGTGTCAGTGGGAGGAATAGTATCCCATTGTTTTTGTCAGTAGAAGGAATAGTGCACCATTGTTGTCGTCAGTGGGAGGAATAGCGCCCCACTGTTGGTGTCGGTGGAAGGAATAGTGCCTCACTGTTGGTGTCGGTGGAAGGAATAGTGCCCCATTGTTGGTATAATTGGCAGGAATAGTGCTTCATTGTCGGTGTCAGTGGGAGGAATAGTGCCTCATTGTAGGTGTCAGTGGGAGGATTAGTTCCCTATTGCTGGTGTCATTGGGAGGAATAGTGCCCCATTGTTGGTGTCAATGGCAGGAATAATGCCTCAAGGGCCATATAAAGGCAAGCAAAGGGTGGAATCTGGCCCCTGGGCCACAGTTTGGAGACCACTGATCTAGACAATGCTCTACTAGAGAGTGATTTTGTGTTTTTCTGGACACTTGTTATAGGGCACAAAATTGTCCAACTTTGGTTTTTACTGTCAGATCTTTTTATGGAGAATAGGAGGAAAATTAATACTTTATCACTTGTACCTCAATATCCATCCAGCAATAGGACTGTTGTGGCTCCTAAAAGATTATCCTCAATGACTATAAGGTTTGTCCTCCATCCATCTCTCCCTCATCTTCTGATTTGTTCACAGACCGTAAGGCCGTACTTTCTAATGGGAGGCTGAAATGTGTTGGAAGCTCCTTGTTCCTGAAGAGGAAATGGGGTATCGGCTATCACTTGAGGTGAGTACCCAAAGCCTTGAGGTAAAGCTCAGGAGATAGGAACTCACAGAATGGAAAGTGGTGGGATTTAGCAGAGAAGTCGCACAATCTCTTTATGTGACATGTAAACATGAAAGGCCCCATAACCAAAGGAAGATTTTGTTTCATCCCACAAAAGGGGCAATCGGATTAGTCATTGTGGAAATCACAGAATGTCCTTCCTTCTGAATTTTTGGATCCCAAGGTCCAATGTGGCTGCAGTCTTTGTTGGTGATTCTGGCACCCACCGTCCATTGCATTGTTATCAAACCAGTTCTCTCGATGGTTTTGCAGGTGTATCATGGTCCCTTTATGTGTGACATTTGCACCCTCAGAGAAACATATTGGTAAAGCTAAAGAGTCTATGTCTTCTCTGGAATTAGGGGATCATCTTAATGGAATTTGCTGCCTGATGCAGTTCTATTTATGGTGTCTTTTTTGGGTGACCAGGATGCAGGTGACTCCGTCATGTGACACAGAGGCCATCACATCACTCATAACGCAGCACATCTCCAACGCCAAGCTCAGCATGCAGAATGTTGAGGATGTGAAGTTCACCCTACCGTTTGAGGACATGGACACCTTCCCAGGTACAGGGACACAACAAAATTCCCTTGGCCCTCCCAGATGGCAGAGGAGGTCTAAATAAAACCTTATTTATTAAAAGCAGAAGCCTCAGGCGCACATATTTGCAAATATATGTTGAAATCGTACCACCATATCATGGTTCCTTTATAAAGTGTGATCCTCACCTTCTATATGAGAATTTTGAAATGCTTTGAATTGTTTTTGCAGCTCTGTTCACTGACCTGGAGGGACATGTTGGACGGGACATTGAGAGTTATGGCGTCTCTATCACCACTCTGGACGATGTGTTCCTGAAACTGGAAGGAAAAGATGAGATTGAAAAAGGAGGTGAGCATCGTTTGTAGGTGTTTTAACAGTCCAGCATTCTGCAGCTCAATGACTTTAAGGTTTAGTTCACCTTTTGAACGATGTTTCATGTTACACCCAAAGTTAAGGTACATTATGAAGCATTTGTAGCACCCTCCTAGGAAAGCTAGGGGAAGCTAGATCATTATTTATTTCAGTTAGAGGCTGAATAGCAGCCTGTGCAATAGTTAGAGGGTCAAATTTCATTCAGGGCTGAGAGGCTCTGCAGATCATCTCTCTCTGAAACCTCCCCCTGATCTAGAGACTTAGAAAAGTCTCTAGAACTCAGTGGGTGGGGATGAGGAGGAGCTGGTCTGCACTCTCAAGGGATCTTGGCCAATCCCCAAGCAGGAGTCTTAGCATGAGATCAGGACAGCTCTTAAGAGTAATCAATCCTGCTCAGTAGTAGGAGAGTTTGAGTGGAAGATGAAGTGAGTAGGATGGTGTGTGTGGATCCTGGGAGGGGGTCCAGGAGAGGGGCCTACCTACAGGCAGAGGAGCTAGGATCTCTCAGCATCATCATCCCCTGAGAAAGGACAGCCTGGGAAGCAGGGAAGGAGCAAGCCCAGCATAAGGCCTGAAGGCAGCCACCAACCCACAAGCTTGCAGGATAGACTGAGTGAGAAACCCCCTGAGCTGGATAAGGAGTGAGGGCATGCTGGTGATAAACCTGACTAGCCCCCATCTGGGACTGCTGACCTTAAAAGACAGATTCTGGTTCCTCCTGCCCAGAGATTCCCTCAGGCAGCTGAGTGAAGAGATTTCATCTGGTGTCTGACGTGGTACTCCGGGAGTGGCAGGATTGCTCTCTAAGAAGGGAGCACTTGTGCATTGTATCAGGAAGTTGTCCTCAGTTAAACAGTTCCTTGGGCATCCCATGTATCCCTTATCCCCACCCAAGTTTCAAGCCCCTAATAAAATCCAAAAAAACAAGTTTGAGGACTGTTTACTGTCTCTGAAGTGCAAGCCTGGAAGGAAATGCATGTTGCCTGGCTGTGCAGGACTATAGAGGGACACAAAACTTCAGCAACTCCTAAGGGGGTAGTGCTACACATGGTTGTACCCCCTCCAGTCCATAGGACTGTGAGAATCTGGAAGTCTCAGAGGAGTGAGAGAGTCCCGGGTGTCAGGAGAAGCCCTATCAAGAGGTCAGGGAATGGGCAGTAAGGAGTGCTAAGACAGCCAGGAGAGCTGGGAAAGCTTAACGAACGCAGAGGTACCTTGTAAGATGTCCTGAGGGACCAACCAAGGTCTAAACAGCCAATATATTTTACCTTACTTTCTTGACTCTGTCAGATTACAATGTTTTTGCCCCTGAACAAAATGACACGGAGGACCGGGATCACTTCTCCATGGAGCCAGAGGATTCGACCCTTCTGATGTCGGACTCGGGTACGCCCACCATTAGTGGAATGGCATTGTGGAGACAGCAGGTGTTGGCTGTGGCAAGGATCCGATACTTGAAGCTTATCCATGACATGAAAGGCTTTCGATCCATGTACGTAGGTGATGCTTTGGCCTCCAACAATATCTGGTGTTGCCAGGGTTGAGTGAATTTGTGACAAAGCAATACTAGTGGTCACTGCACGTACATACTTAGCCACCTGCAGGTGGTCTTCATCACTCTTTTCTAAGGGAACATGGAGCTTTCAGGACATGGAAGTCCTAGGACATGCATAGAAGGGTCTTTGCACGAGAAGGGTCAAAGGTAATTTTACCTAGGATATGGTGGTGCTTGGCCATATAAACTTAGAACAAGGAGATCTTGAGGTGTGAATAGTTTCGGCACAGAAATCCTGAGTTATGAATGATTGGGATGGGGATCTCCTAGGGTGTGCATATTCAGGACATAGAGGTCCTGGGGGTTTGTAATTAGCACAAGGAGGTTCTGGGGCATGCATAGTTAGGAAAGTGAGACATTGAAGTGTACATAGTTAGGACACAGAAATCATGGAGCATGGATATTTGGGACATGGAGGTTATAGAGTGTTAATTTTAAGGACATTGAAGTCTTGGGCAATGCATAGTTATTACAAGGAGGTTCTGGAGTGTGTATAGCTGTGTCACCTACCTGTATGCGGAGCCTGAGATGACGAGGGTAGATTATTGCACAGTTCCTATCCAAGCAACCCTGGATAGTGAGACAGGAACTGTGGTGGGCGAAATTAAGGAACAAGCACCAAGAGTTAGCCTCTAAGAATAGGAATTTGAGAGTGCTAGTATCTGGTGGGCGGAGGTACAGCTGGTGTGTTGTGGTGAGGTAGCACCATGTTCAGTGGATGGCATACACCAGGATTTACACAGAACCAGAGTCAGGGATGGGCAGAGGTCAGCAACAATCAGGCAGCGAGGTACAGAGACACTAGGCAGAAGCGTGGTTGGTAGTCCAGGTCAGGGTTCGTAGGGGAGGCAGATAGCAGGCATAAGCAGGTCAGAATAATCCAAGCAAGATCAGAACAGAAGCCAAGTCAATAACAGGATCACGGGTGTACATAGAGACTGGATCATGGGGAACTGGCTGAAGAACATACAGCACAGGACCAGTGCAAGATTCTGGTTTAAATAGGCTGCCTGTCAGCAGTGCGTGCACGTGTGCGCTCATACGTGTGGGCAAATGAGCAATCTATCTTCTATGCTTATGCCCATGCACATGTACATTAGTTAAACAACAAGTCCTGGCCTGACAACTGGTACTACGTTCCGGGCAAGCTGGAACATGGTGGTATTGGGATATGTAGAGCAAGAAACTTGAGGCGTGCATTGCTGAGACATGATCTTGAAGTGTACATAGTTAAGACATGGAGATCCTGGGGTGTGCACAGTTGGGACATGGAGGTTATAGGGTGTCCATTTTAAGGACATTAAGTCTTGGGCAATGCATATAGTTAGAACAAGGAGGTTCTGGAGCATGTATAGCTGGAACATGGTGGCACTAAGATATGTATAGCAAGAACTTGAGGTGTGCATTTTTAAGACATGATCTTGAGGTGTACATAGGTAGAACATGGAGATCCTGGGGTGTGCACAGTTGGGACATGGAGGTTATAGGGTGTCCATTTTAAGGACATTAAGTCTTGGGCAATGCATACAGATAGAACAAGGAGTTTCTGGAGCATGTATAGCGGGAACATGGTGCTGCTGGGATATGTATAGCAAGAACTTGAGGCGTGCATTGTTAAGACATGGAGATCTTGAAGTGCATAGATGGGGCACAGAGGTATGAGGGTGCACATACTAAGGATAATTAAGGAAATGGAAGTCCTGGCCAATGTTTAGGTAGCACAATAAGGTCCTGGAGCCTGCATATTTGGGACATGGTGGTGCTAGGGAATGTACAGCTAGAACTTGAGGCATGCATAGTTAGGACACGGAGACTCTTGGGTGTGCATGGTTAGAACATGGTGCTCTTGGACTGTTCATATTAGGATCAGATATGTATATTAAGTAATATGTCCTTCAGATGAGTAGATTTGGTAAATTAGAAGTGCTGGACTTCACAGAAAAAAAGAAGAAGCAATACCGAGAGGAGACTTCAATGCATGTTGAATCCCTCACCAAGCATGAACACAACATGTTTTATTTTCAGACTTCTTCTGCTGGTTCTCTTCATCCTTCCTATGGTCATCGGCATCATACTGATGAGAGTTTCTAACACCGTTCGAGCCTGGGAGATGACTCCGCACCTTTATTTCCAGAGACCTGGAGAAAGGGAACACAAATTTTACACCAAACTCCTGCTGAACAACAACACTGGTAAAATAAAACTGGAATGCTGCCTTAGGGTTCTGTTGTTCTGTAGGAGCTGGGAGCTGGCTTACAAAAACATACATACACCAGGGGCGGACTGACCATTTAGCCACTTGGGCACTGCCCGACGGTCCGGGGTCAGTAGGGTGCCCATGAGATGCCCCTGGTACCTTTCATAGGGTTTTTTGCATGTGGTTTGAGTGTGGGCGAGGACACAGGGGCCCCATGATTTCCTATTGCCTGGGGGCCCCATGAGTTTTCAGTCCACCACTGACATACACTATTTGCAAATCACCTCAGAGGAAACAGCCTCCAGGAGCCTCTGGGTGGCGATACCCAAGAATAGGGAGGAGGATGACCATAGGATAGACTGACTGTTCCTAGAATATCACTTCAAACTGAAACATCACCTTAACAAATTAGTGAACTTCTGCATAGCCAGGAATTTTTTATTTTTTTGGTAGAGAGGACAACTCAGAATGAACAGGCTGCATGCAGACTCTATGCTGCCCTCTATCTTTACCATCTCTTTTCTATCGTGTTTCTTTAATATTGCCCTATGACAAGTTTAACATGACCTGGGTCCAGTGCCTGGCAGGTGTGAGTGATTTGTACAACTGGTCACTGGTGAGTGGAACACATATCTCTGGCTGTGATGTCACCTCACTGATATCATGAGAGTTCAGCTGCATCACTCCCAGCAGCATCCATCCATCATCATAACATACAGTACTGTCTCCCCTGTATAGGTGTCCCCATTGACAGCTTCCTTTATGGTGTCACGGCTCAAGATATCGCTGTGGATGTTGTGGATGGTCCGTATGACATGGACAACACTACGGCCTATAACGGCGCTATAGAGGTCACTCACCATGATAAGGCATGGCAACATTTCTTTCTACTAAGGCCCAGTTTATCTGTACGCTGTTCACATTTCAGAAGGCTAACTAAAGTCTCACTAGTCTCTGTGGCAGAGGAGCTTACACTCTAATGTCCCCTCCCCCACAGTCCCATCAGGCTCTGTACCAGAGGAGCTTACACTCTAATGTCCCCTCCCCCACAGTCCCATCAGGCTCTGTACCAGAGGAGCTTACACACTAATGTCCCCTCCCCAACAGTCACATCAGTCTCTGTACCAGAGGAGCTTACACTCTAATGTCCCCTCCCCCACAGTCCCATCAGGCTCTGTACCAGAGGAGCTTACACTCTAATGTTCCCTCCCCCACAGTCCTATCAGTCTCTGTCTCAGAGGAAGCTTACACTCTAATGTCCCCTCCCCCACAGTCCCAGAGGAAGCTTACACTCTAATGTCCCCTCCCCCACAGTCCCATCAGTCTCTGTCTCAGAGGAGCTTACACTCTAATGTCCCCTCCCCCACAGTCCCATCAGTTTCTGTACCAGAGGTGCTTACACTCTAATGTCCCCTCCCCCACAGTCCCATCAGTCTCTGTACCAGAGGAGCTGACACTCTAATGTCCCCTCCACCACAGTCACATCAGTCTCTGTACCAGAGGAGCTGACACTCTAATGTCCCCTCCCCCACAGTCACATCAGTCTCTGTACCAGAGGAGCTTACACTCTAATGTCCCCTCCCCCCCCACACAGTCACATCGGTCTCTGTACCAGAGGAGCTTACGCTCTAATGTCCCCTCCCCCACAGTCACATCGGTCTCTGTACCAGAGGAGTTTACGCTCTAATGTCCCCTCCCCCACAGTCACATCGGTCTCTGTACCAGAGGAGCTTACGCTCTAATGTCCCCTCCCCCACAGTCTCATCAGTCTCTGTACCAGAGGAGCTTACACTGTAATGTCCCCTCCCCCACAGTCACATCAGTCTCTGTACCAGAGGACCTTACACTCTAATGTCCCCTCCCCCACAGTCACATCAGTCTCTCTACAGAGGAGCTTACACTCTAATGTCCCCTCCCCCACAGTCACATCAGTCTCTGTACCAGAGGAGCTTACACTCTAATGTCCCCTCCCCCACAGTCACATCAGTCTATGTACCAGAGGAGCTGACACTCTAATGTCCCCTCCCCCACAGTCCCGTCAGTCTCTGTACCAGAGGAGCTGACACTCTAATGTCCCCTCCCCCACAGTCACACACTATTATTCATATACATGTATAGCTCTGACATATACTGTGGTGTTGTACAGAGATCACTGATCACATTTGCTATGTCTGTTTCTCAGGGTTACGGGTTCAGAATAATCGGAAACCCCCGCGCACACAACAGCCTCCCGGTATTGGTCAATATTATCAGTAACGCCTTTATGAGGGTGTATAACGCCACGGAGCGGATCAGGGTGTGGAGTGACCCCGTCTATGAGGTGAGTACCTCTCTGGAGGCTCCCCAACACTTCTGTCTGTTCCTGAATGCTGAGACTGGAACCCCAACATACCGAAAAAATTGGTTCCCCCTAAAAAACACAGAGCACCCCCATACATATACTGGGGGAAAATGACTGCTACAGCCAGTCAGATCCTTCAGTTTTCACTCTAACTGAACAATGACCAGCCAGTGGTGTCTATGTGGCCTCAAATGTGGCTCCGTACTCTCCCTACAGGGAGCCACTTGTAGTCCACAAAGCCATCCAGTTGAGCTGTTCCTTCTTTCTTTCTCTCCCCAGGACAATCCCTCGCGTCTGTTTTTTCGAGCACTTCTTAGTGGAACGTGTTCTATTATTATTTGCTTCTGGACTTGCCCCCCACTTTGCAATGAGTAGCATGGAGGATGTAAAAGTAAGTATGGCCTCATCCATCTGAGAACGTTTGTAATGCATGAATACATAAGATGAGTTAAAGCCAAACTTTGGGCAAACGGCTAAATCCACAGATGAGATACATCCAGTATATGGTGTCATCTCTGGGTCTCTGTGCTTCTCGGCTTTCCTCTATGGCTCCGGAGTTGTGGATACACTATACCAACTGCAGGCTAGGCGGACATGAAGCTCATGTGTGAGCAGATGACTCGGGATCCTCGGGGAGTCTAAGCTGCAGCCATTCTTCATCAGAGCTCCTGATGGTGGTGGGCTCACTGTGTGTTGGTACCCCCAAGGCTTACCCTGTTCTGATGTGCACCATTGTAGGCAGATAATCTCAGCAGTGTTCTGGTGGTAGTGGTGTAGACAGGAGACATGCTGTGAGGAAGGGGTTGGTCCATGGAGCACACTGGAACAAGGTGCAGAAAAATAATGGAGGGAGCCGTGGATTGGACCTGGTACCAGAGCCATGGATCTCACCTGAGATGGTTGGAAGGGTGCGGTGACCACCAATGAACCAGAATACAGGCCAAGGGTCAGGGTAGGCAGCAGAGAAAAGAATCCACAGAACAAGAACCGAGGTTGGTACATGGGATGTCAGTCTAACAAAGAAACAGGCAGGAAGTAGGTGCACTGGGGTCAAAGGGAATGCAAAGAACCAGGCACACAGGGGGTCACTAAGATCACATGATGTCAGGAACTAGACCTAAGACGCCTTGGAACAGGGGTCTAGAGGTTGGCGTAGCCTATTGCTCAGGTAAAGATTACTAGTCTGAGTATCAGGGTTCAGAATCTGAACCTGCAACCTCTGTCTGGCTCCTCTTGCTATGCCACCTGGGATGCTGGACAGCTCCCTGTATGATCTCTTGGGACAATCTTGCCTTGTCTCTTGTTTCTGGTGAATCTTGAACTCTTTGCTCCTTCCATGAACTTCCTGGTTTAAGCCATGTCTCTACAGTTCCTGTTTGCCAGATAATTCTGCTCATCTCCAGCCGATATCTTGCTCCTTTGTGTACCTGCAACTGTCCTTTTCTCCGCTACTACTCATTACCAACCTTTGGCTTGTTCCTTGACTATGCTTCTGCTTGATCCCAACCTCCAACCATTTGTTATCAACCTTTGGCTTGTTCCTCGACTATGCTTCTGCTTGATCCCAACCTCCAACCATTTGCTACCAACCTTTGGCTTGTTCCTCGACTATGCTTCTGCTTGATCCCAACCTCCAACCATTTGTTACCAACCTTTGTCTTGTTCCTTGACTATGCTTCTGCTTGATCCCAACCTCCAACCATTTGTTATCAACCTTTGGCTTGTTCCTCAACTATGCTTCTGCTTGATCCCAACCTCCAACCATTTGTTATCAACCTTTGGCTTGTTCCTCGACTATGCTTCTGCTTGATCCCAACCTCCAACCATTTGCTACCAACCTTTGGCTTGTTCCTCGACTATGCTTCTGCTTGATCCCAACCTCCAACCATTTGTTACCAACCTTTGTCTTGTTCCTCAACTATGCTTCTGCTTGATCCCAACCTCCAACCATTTGCTACCAACCTTTGGCTTGTTCCTCGACTATGCTTCTTCTTGATCCCAACTTCCAACCATTTGCTACCAACCTTTGTCTTGTTCCTTGACTATGCTTCTGCTTGATCTCAACCTCCAACCATTTGCTACCAACCTTTGTCTTGTTCCTTGACTATGCTTCTGCTTGATCCCAACCTCCAACCATTTGTTACCAACCTTTGTCTTGTTCCTTGACTATGCTTCTGCTTGATCCCAACCTCCAACCATTTGCTACCAAACTTTGGCTTGTTCCTTGACTATGCTTCTGCTTGATCTGCTACTGGACTGGACCCCAGTATTTACTAGAGCTCCTGACAGTGGAGATGGGTTTTGCTGCGTGTTAGTACCAGGTTGTGGTCCTCAGGATCGCCCCACCAGAAGGTGAGCAAGTCGGGGTCCAGTAGCAGATATAGCAGGTTGGGATCAAACAGATGCGTAGTCAGTAATAAGCCAAAGGTCGGTAAAAAATGGTTGCAGGTTGGGATCAAGCAGAAGTGTAGTCGAGGAACAAGCTAAAGGTCTGTACAGGAGTGAAGGACAGCTGCAGGTATCCGAAGGAGCAAGATATCTACTGGAGCGAGCACGATAATCTGACAAACGGGGAGTGCAGAGACATGGCTTATAT